TTCGAAGAGGGGCTTGGTGAACAGAGAAGCAGCAAGTACAGTGATGACTAATGATATATATACTAGATACTAACCTACTAGGTTATGTGAACTTTTTAAAGGTATTTCCTGTCTTGAGTAATTTCCAGAGGTGTCCAATAGGAAATTGATACTTCTTTCCATCTTTTCTTCCAAAAATCCTCTTACAAATGAATCTACGTAATCACCTGCAAATTCACAGTAAAACAATTTTTGAAGACACAAGAGGTTAGGTATTTTGGCCAATAGGGCAATATTTGCTCTTAGGACTTTAAAAGCCTAGCGTCAGTAGGTCTCGATTATTTATCTAGCCTGTGGACCACCCTCTATAAGCATAATTACTTTTAGAGCTCATACTTTTACCATTAGAATCCAATACAATATGGAAGTAATATTGTGGCCGGCAGAATTTTAAAATGGTCTCCTGAAGATCCCTGTACCTTGGTTATTCAAGAAAATATATTTACACATATCCATAAGAATTTTTGGAAGGAGAAAGGAGCAACTTAGAAATGCTTATCTTTGGGGAACAGGAAGGTAATGAAATTAGCATATCGTGACTTTACAATAAAATAGGACTCTAAAAATAAAACCAATAAACAAAACAATACCTATATTAGTTTTCTATTGCTATGTAATAAATTACCAAATATTTAATGACTTAAAAAATTGATAACCTATTTATTAATCTTAGGTAGGCTTCACTTGTTCGAGCTCAGGAGGCTCTCAATGGATCATAAAGCCAAAATCAAAGAAAGGTAGAAATCCACCAGCTCCCAGTTCCCTAGGAACCCTCACCCAGTTTTCCTTCTCAGGGTATCATGTGGCCACAATCACAGTGTCAGCAGGGCTGGGCTCTTATCTGGAGGCTGGGAAAGAATCCACTTCCCAGGTCATACAGGTTGTGGAGAGTCAGATCACTGAGGCGACAGGATTGAGGTCTCCATTTCATCCTGGCTGTCAGCCTCAGGCTGCTTGCTGCCCGCTTCCGGACTCTGCCCTCTCCTAACTCCAAGTCCACAATGGCCACGTCCAATCCACCTCAGGCTCACATCTATCTCTAACTGCTCTGCCCTAACCAGAGAAAATGCTTTCTTTGAAAGGGCTCATACAGTTGGGTCAGGCCCACTCAAATAATCTCTGTATAAAAGATGATCTGACTTGGGACTTTAATTATGTCTGCAAAATCCCTCCACAGGAGTACCTCAATGATGAACACGATAGGATATGAGAGGAACCGCTTCACCATTCTACCAATTTTTAACCTTTTTTTGACAATATGCTAGATGAACCATAGTAACTCATTATCCTGGTTCACATTTCTCTTGGGGTTACGATGAGTGAACATTTCACACGTTTTTGTTGTTCAATTTTTTCTCCGTGACATGCCATTTACATCTTTTGCTCATTTTTCTCTTGGTGCACTCATCAATTTTCACATTAATTTACACAAGCTCTTTCTATATTAAGGCAATCCGATGTTGGTCAGTTATAAGCATGAGACATTTTTCACAATTTTTCTTTTGATTTTGTTTATTATGCAGAAATTTTCATTGTAGGAGAGGCACACCAGTCTTTTCTTTGGGGCTTCTGGATTGTATTTCATGCTTAGAATCTTCCTGGAATAGGAGCCTAGGATATTCAACCTTCCCTTTTTTATTAAAATGGGACTATCCTGTTCACCGTTCTTTGAGGAATCCCTGGTTTTCAACAAGCACTGCTTTGTGTGTGGAGATAAGCTGCAGAACACTGTGCCAGTATTCCTTTTCCTCAGGCCACAAATAAAGTTCTCATCTCCACTGAGTCACGTGATGGGCGTAAAGTCATGTGTCAGCAATGAGTGGCCTGACATATTATCTCTAACGAAGAAAAACAGAAAGCATAACTCTATATTTTGGGTGCATAAGCATTGAGAGAAGGCAGTTTTCCTTCCTCTTGTTTTCCTGGAGACTTCTAGGAACCCTCACCTGGCATTCTGTGTATCACATACATGACAGAGAAGGTAGCAATGGGCAGTCAGAGCTAAGAGGCATGGTGAGCGGGGAGGCACTTCACATATCAAGGCATGAGAATGGTCCTTTCCTTAATTTACATTTTCTTCTTTTTATACAGAAATAGCAATCTACCAGACTGAGATGAATGCCATTTCTCACAAAACGTCTGACAGACTTCTACAGCTTCTGGGTGAGTAACAACCTGTGGGCTCCGTAACATAAGGAAAAGTACTCTCAGAACCTGAAAGAAAGGCTCCTCTCTGCCCACTCCTCTGACTAAATCCTAAAATGATGTTTGAAGGGGAAGGAATTCAACCCAAGTCTACATAGAGAAAAGAATTAAGAGGATCATTAAAGTCTTAACCACATTTTCTCTAATCTCAATATGAGAATTGAAGACAATCACAGTAATAAAGAGTAATCAAAAGGCACATAAAGTGTGGCACAATTACTACAGAACACTATAAAGAGGAGTAAGGTTAATTTATTTTAATCACTATCGAATTATACATAACAAATAGACTTCATCATTTACTCAGCACCTAGTATATACCATTAGGCCCTGTGATGGAGGAATATAAAGATGAAAAAAAGAATTTCAGCCTCCACTAAGGTATGTGGCCTCGCTTGCCCCTCCGTCAGCTTTTGATTTTATATAACAATGATATAACATAAGTCTCCAAAGTATAAATGGTAACATTATAGCTGTGTATTCATCACACAGCTCTGGAAACACAATATTACCAACTGCTATCATTCTCCCCGATTATATCCCCCTCACAGCTCTCATGAAATTGGCCTTTAAAATTACTGTTTTCCTTTATACTCTTACTATAAACATATATGCACATAAACATACATATTTATGTGTAGTGTGTATCCCTAAACAAAATATTCTTTGTAGCATAACGTTAGCCTTATATGAATGGTTTAAATAATATCTTTTTGTACCTTCCTTTTGTTGTCCAATACTACCTTCGAGTTTCACGCATGTGGAGATGTGCAGGGCTAGTTCATTTTCTGCTATGTGGACAGTGTTCTGTGGACGCCTATGCCACAATTCATTTCTCCATTTTCTAACTGATAAATGTTTAGGTTGCTTCCAATGGTCAGCCATTACCTAGAACACTGCTATGAGCAGCCTAGAGCGTGCTTTCCTACGATTCTCTCCAGTTTTACCCGCGAGTGGCATTTCTGAACTTTAGCGGTCTTGCTACAGTATCACAACTTTACCTTTTCTACTTTACCATCTTTTATTTATTACTATGAATAAAACAAAATGTTACTCCACAGAGGCAGCTACCTCTATCTCTCCCTTCTCCCCAAACATGTCACGGATAACACCCACTCTCAGGTTGAGTACCACCCGCCCAAGCAAAAGGACTTCTGAGGAAGAGTCACAGCCCTGCTTTCAAATGTGAAATCATCATCTGAAAGCCCCTCAGTGTGAAGTCAGAGTTTTCACAATAGTGTGATAGAGGAAGTGCTCATACTGTCAACCCACCATTCTTCACAATCCTGAAGACATCTTCCTAAAACACGGATCTTCCTCAAAATCCCTGAAAGGCATTCAAGGTCAAAATTCCTTCTCCTCTCTGCCTTTCGTTTCTCTTTCCACCTTTATCTTCTGTTACAATCAAGCATACACCTCCCCAGCTCTAGCCACACACTGGGAATTCCCGTTTCTACCTGTCAAAGTCTTACTCATCTTTTAACATATTAAGCAAGTAGTTCCTTCAAACTCTCCTGGACTTTCCTGATTGGAATTAACCCTTCTCTTCTTTGCACCATCTTGGATAGAACTTTAAACATACAGCAGTTTTCACTGAGGTTTTTGTAATATGGCTCTATCTTCCTTATAATTAGTACCTGAGCCCAAGGGCCTCATCTCTTGAATCTTCATTGTCTCTACAATGGTTCTGGATGAAAGAAATAATTATATATGCCGCCAACAGGTATAACTTTAGAGAACACAATGCAAATATACAAGAGGAGACATGTTCTAGACTGCTTGTAGCAGCATTGTTTGTAATAGCACGTGTGTGTGTGTATGTGTGTGTGTGTGTGTGTGTGTGTGTGTGTGTGTATATCTTGGTTCAACTTTAGCAGGAAAAAAAATGCTGGCTAGTTCTGACAGACTATAGGACATGTAACCCCAAAATACGTCATCTTGGCATACTGACTATTTCAAGCTGAAGGAATGTGAGGAAGGGTGTGTGCAAGAAGACCTGCCCTAAAGCAAGTCATAAAACCCTCCTGTGGAAGGTACTGTCCTATGCCTGGAGTAAAGAAACCTTATCATCTCTAAAGATAAGGGACACAGAGGAATGTAAAGAATGGCCTTGCTAATTTCAGTTTATCACAATTAGCCATCACCTCTGCCCTATCACGTTTTTGTACAACTTTCCACTCTTCATTAAACCTAGCATAAAAACACTCAGTTTAACTGTTTCTTTGGGTCTTCACTTCCTTGTGAAGGCTCCCTGTGTTACGTAAAGCTTACATTACGTAAGTGTGTTACATTTCCTGTTGTCAGTCTGTTTCTGGTTACCAGGCTCCCAGTGGAGAACTTGGAAGGATAGATAAAAGATATTTTTCTTCCCCTAAAGTTCTGAACACACATCCTTTTCATGTGAACTAACATGTCTGCTCTTCTCAAAGATAATCCTAATGTGCAAACATGTCTTGCATCCTCCACACATTGGGAAACTGAGAAATAAGTAATTGAAAAAGGACCCCACATAAAAAGAAATTCTCCTCAATTTTAGAGTCCAAACACTGTGATGTTTGGGCTAACATCAGAAAGAACAACTTAGTGAGAAACCACCAGGAAAACCAGGCTAAAAAGACATGAAGACACACCTGAGTTTCAAAATGCCCAGATTATTTTGAAAGACACACACACACCCACACCCACACCCACAACCCACACACAAAAATGCTATCAAAAAGAAGTAAAACAAAACTCCAGGAAAGAGAACTAATTACCTGCATGAGCCGAGAGAGGTGAGTGTGGTCGGGGCAATGCTGTTGACTGCCCATTGCCTATTAAGCTTTTTCGGTTGCTTGTTCGGCAACTGTCAAAAGGAAAGGAAAAACAAAGTTTTAAAAAGATAATATAGCATTAGATTAATAATAATAAAAATAATAGTAGTAATAATAATTCAGGCATATTCAATACAGGCACAGACCAGAGGTTAAACTACCTATCAGCTCATACTATTAACAACATTTTTGCAAGTCGATATGCACTCACTAATATTTGAGGGGTGGCTGCCTCTTGAGTATTAGAAAATATAAAGTATTCATGTAGTATCACAGCATCAATATTCCTCACCACCAGTGAAGCTATAATCAAAAGCCTTCTTTCAGGTCTTGATTGCAAATATGTGACATGCCACACATGCAAGTGATAAATTAGCGCTTCAAATCAGCAAACCACAGGTAGCATCTTTGTTGACATGAAATTTCTAATACAAAATTACATGCAATGAAGCGCAATGACATTAATCTTACAATGATGCACTAATTAAAAATCTAATTATTTAGACAAATTTCACATTTGTGCCTTTTGTCAATACAACAGCCGATGCCTAAGATAAATGTATTTCACTACTCATTCATTTTTCATCTTGTATACAGCATTCAAATTCCTAATTAAGGTACATATTTTGGAATTATAAAAACATTCCTGTTTGCATGAAAATAACAGTGGAGGCCTATTTTCACAGGCACACTCCCTACCGTTTTTATCCTGGTACTCCATGAATGGAAATAATTGCTACATACGGACATAGGGCAACTATCTTTTCCTGTTCCTGCTAGTGAAAATTATAAAATAGCCAATCTTATTCCAATGTAACTTTCACAAGCCTCAAAGAATACGACACATGCAAAGCTGGTGGACGGTGAAGTGGGTGTTACTTCCATTTGCTTTCCTTAGATACAGGTTGGCACTTCATTCTTTACTGTCAGCACCGACGTTAGAAAGATAATAAATGAATTCACCTATAATAAGTTTCAGGGCTCTCTGGTTCCTTCTCCTACCTGTGGGCTGCCTTCATTAAAGGTTTACTGTAATGCCTTTTTAATTAAGAATATACCTGTTAGAGCAGGTTCTTGAAACAGGAATTTTCACCTGACTTCTAAATTAGATATATTTGAGAGTGTGTAGAAGATGCTTGAAAGGAACATTTCTAAATATGCAAATGATACATTTCTAAACCAAGTACAATTTCTTTCAGCAATATTGGCTTGCAAACCAATCCTCTCTCTTAGATATTTGCTGCTTGTCATCATTTGTTAACATGCCCATATTTATAATTTCTTAAGGTGAGGCTGCATCATTTTATTTTCCTTACTGGAGCAATCAACATCCTGTAGCATAATCTGTGAGTATAATTAAGATCATGTTTACTCAGCCTTAAAGAAGCTGTTGAATAAGAATAGACCCTTGATACTTAATTATGAAGGTGGATTGTGTTATTACCAACTCATCTATCAAGAACTGTATTCAACCTATTACATTCATAATTATTAAATCAGATAGTGTGATTGTTTTACAAATAAACTGTACACTATATTTAGTGTTAATTCAAATTAATGTCTCCTTTCATTTTAATACAGATATTTTAAGTATACCAACTTGCTGGTGTTAATAAATTTAAAAAGACAGATTTATACCCTGCAAATCTCAGCCAAGTTATTTGTTAATTTGAGCAAATTAATTGAAACAAGGGTTAGCTATCCAAAAAAAATGGCTATTGGTATTATTTTTTATATTTAGTATTTCTTCTACATCATTTATGACAATTTTCTCTTGATATTCAATTATTGTTTATATATGTAAATCAAATTAAAATGTAAATAAATAGAAATAGTAATCTTATGAATATCTTAAATGGGGATATTAGTGAAATATGCTGCCGTAAACCTAATATTTAGAAACTATTTCTTAAAGAAAACTTTAAAAAATTGAAATTTCATTAAGAGATATAGAATGACTAGTACACTACCACAACAAACAAAATAACCAAAAATTTAGATTTATAACAAAGTAAACACAAACAAAAAATCTAACATTTTAATCAGTTATTTAAAAGTCTATCATAAAAGGGTAGAAAAGTATTGATTTCTAAAATGTGATTTTAAAAAATCTCAAAAAGAAATGTCTAAACAAAACCAGAAAATGGAATATACTTGCTTGGTCAATATGAAAATATAAAATATGAAAAAACTTTATATTATATTCATCCTGTGTTTGCCTTCTCTCTATAAAGGTTTGTAATTGCTACAACCAGACAACTATAAATGCAATTTAGAGTGAAAAAAAATAAGGATTCTTCATCTATGAATACAAGAGAAAGGTAAAAGAAGTTAAAAACAAACTGCTTTCAGAATCTTAACAGTTTACCACATTTAAGGTACTGGTAGTCTGTTGCACTAAACCTTAAATAACTGGCAAATGTTACTGACAAATGCTTTAACAATCAGAGCTGGAAGTGTCTTCTCTAACCTCATATGGACCTTGAGCATGTTGCTAGAGAGTATTAAAAAAGTTCCCAGATAACAGACTTGGAACTTTCTTGAATCTCTCAACAATCAAACAGGAACATGTTAAACATGAAATACTCCTCAGTGTGGCAAATCAAAACTTGATAAAATACAGGTCAAGATACATTTCCGTAAGTACACAAAATAAATCCCTACGCTCATCAAGTAGGGTCTTGGCCTCAACAATTAATTTAGTTATTGCTAACATTCTTAAAGGTAATGGGGCATTTTATACTGTATTTAACCTCAAAATACCTAGATCTTGATATATAATTACTTTCAAAATTCTAGGACCCTACTAAGATATTCTGTAGGTAACTTTGCAAGGTTGGAGAGGAAGGGTGGTCATTTGATCTCAATACTACCTGTGTCTAATGTCTCTGAGAGTCACCTAATCTTATTGTCTAGGTACCTGACTCCCAATAAATGAATTGAAATCTACATTTAATCCCACAGTAAGAAAACTCTGAGTAGACAGGACCTATGAGTATTTACTACCTGGATTGTCTCAGCACATGACACTGCCCACATTAATAATGACACAGGCGCAAGATGCTGAGCTGACCTCTACTGCCATTATTTATTCATCCAGGTGTCACACTCTTTTCTGCTGATGAAAGGAGACTCCTATGGCAGTGTGAGGCAGCCCTTCAGGTGCTGGTGACTACACTACATTCATTTGATCCATAAAGTGATAAAATAGTGGTAACATCACCACTTGGGTAAAATCAAGGTCCCTTCCCTTTCAGCAGCATGACTAAGGTGATTCAGCCTTGCTTGCTCTCAGGCACTGTCACGGTCCCCTCCTCCCCCGCCCTCCCCAACAAAACAAAAGAAATGCTGGCACCATCAGCCCAACTTGATGCAAAGACCACTTTGCCTTTGTCTCAAGTTTAGATGGCTGTCCGCTCTGGCTAAATTAGATTTTGCAAGTAAAGAACTGTGCCATCACTGCGCAACCTTCCACACTGAGAGAACAAACGGAGCCTGTGATCGCAGGCAGAGTAGGTGTCTCTGTGTGTTGCTTCAACTGGAGAACCAAGGAGGAGGAGGAGGAGGTGCTTTGTGGGAAGTGGACACCCTGCCTTTGGCTTTCAGACCAGAACATGGGCAGGGTGAGGGGCTTCCCTTTCTTCTTAAAGCGTGGAGGAGAAAGAAGGCTTTTGGGAATGAACTTGAGCAGAAACTTGAGTCCATCTGTCCTTCAGTTTCACTTGGGAATTATATACCTTTGTTCCTAAGGCTAAAAACTGGAGATAAATCTGTGCAAGCTCAAATGCTAGGGTGAGGATAAATTTTTAAAAAGTTAAGAGCTTTCTGCTACGGAAGTGATGTTTCTGTTTTACCTTAAAGTGCCAGAAAGCATATAGTGTGGACCAGGGATCTGAGAAGAATGGGAAGGTGGAAAGACTATGGCGGTACTTTTTTTTAATTGATTTTTTTTTTTTTTTATGAAAGAGAAGAGAGAGAGAGAGAGAGAAAGAGAGAGAGAGAGAGAGAGATTGACGCGAGAGCCAAACATTGATCAGCTGCCTCCTTCATCTCCTTTGTGCTCCCCATGGGGGATCAAGCTGGCAACCTGTACATGTGCCCTGACCTGGAATCGAACTATTGACCTTTCGGTGCACAGGACAACGCCCAACCAACTGAGCCACACCTACCAGGGCAACAGCAGTACCTTTGAGTGAGCAGGGCTGGCTGGCCCCTGCGGGCTGGGAGGCAAGGCAAGCAGAGACAGAACACTCATTGAGAACCTCACAGCGGGGCAGGCACTAGTGATAGGTGGCTATCAGAAGTGCTTTATTTGCATATTTTTTGGGCTCAGGCAGGTGAAGCGAGGCTTGAACAGGGCACCACTCCTGCTCCTTGAGTTCACTGTTCCCATCCACCAAAGCAGTTTCACGATCTCCTAACTATTGCCAACAGTGCCTTCCCTTCACTAGGAAGATAGAGACGGAGCATGCATTTCATCCTCTAAGTCAGGCCTGACTCAGTGTGAAGGACAAAGAGGGCTGCCAGGCTGAGGAAGGGGGTGGGGGGGTAATGCCGTGACCACATGTTTGGTCCAAAGCACCCACACTCTACTTCCGCCTAGGTGGTTCTCATGCTCGGGGTTCCACAGGAAGGGCTTGCAGGGACCTGTAAACCTTTCACATCTGGCTTTGTCACATCTCTCCTGGCAGAAAAACCTGCTAATTACCCCCAACCAGGGCTGTGAAAGCTGTGAGGCCCACCAGGCTGTGGCCTTTAGCAACTGTTCAGAGTAGCTGAACCCCAGCTTAATTTTAAATTACATTCATTTTGAGACATGAATACCAATCGTGTCTGATCATGGCAAGACAAGCCGAGGAGAGGCAGCCCCAACAGGCAGTGGTTTCTAACATTCCTGGCTGACTTGAAAGGTCAACGCTCATTATGGAATCCGACTGACCGCAACTGAGGGGCAGTGATCACACCGTGAACTGCATAAGAACAGCCCCAGGAATTCTCAGAGGCGAGGTTATAACTTATTAATTCATCTTGA